TCATAAGTTGAAAATAACCCGAGAACGCCATGGCAAAAAACGAAAACGACCAAAAGACAAACAACAGTATATAAAATACAACACAGAAAACTAAAGACCGAGCAACACGAACCGCACCAAAAATCTAGGTATCCAATACAGGGAAAGAAGATCAAGTTCTCCACAGATAGAACAGTGTTTACCATATTTTAGAATGATTAAATCTGCCTTTGTTTTAAAGTTCTACTGGCAACAGTGAAGACATCCGATTTTATCCCGAGAATGTCTGTTTTCTTTGATAAAGTAGCAAAATGTCTTTTTTTGTGTAGGAATATCTTGTCAAACTGAACAAACTCATATCTACGACATTTGCTATTAAATGTATAAGTAAACTTAATAATTAACTCTTCAAAGAAACCTAGCATCATTGTTAGCGCTAAGAGGTACTGTAAACAACTCTTTGTGCAATTAAATATTCAAATTTTAAAAAAGCTTTCACATAGAACAATTTTGAAGGAGACTTTGTAATTTCGTGTTTACAAAAGTACCTAGTTACCAAATATTTTTTTCAGATCAAGAAGGTATATATATATGCTTTTACAAAAGACTATTCTGAACACAAAATATTTAAATATGTGAATCTATAGAGTTCATTGAACAAATATGTTTTGCAATGCTTCTGGTCTAACTAGTTCCTTCGCACGTTAACATATTAATAATAGTTAGGTTTATCATTTTGTAATTGTTTTATTTTAATATTATAGTAATACAACACATTTTCTGAAATCTGATAGTCATTAAAGATATTTCATTAGCCTACAGATCACAATTTTAGGAAACGACAAAAATATGTATAATACATAGTATACATGCGAGCGTTTGTCAAGAACATAATAGAGATATCGTTCAAGACCGAGAGTTAAAATCATTCCTCAGTAAAGGACCTAAATATCGTCCATCGTCAATTATTAATTGGAATGAGTGTCGTAATATCATCCACGACTCACTCCATACTTACTGTTTGAAATGGATAAAACGGGAAAAAGCTGACAAAAAATCTTTGGACTCTTTTTTTAATTCAGTAATGAACATAGTTGATATACGTATTCAACATTTTAAAGAACATTTTACTCTTACCAATAACCACAATAAACCTATTTCTCGTATCAAACATAAACTAAAAGAACTAGCCAAGGAATTTGTTTTTGTCCCGGCCGATAAAGCTGCTAATAATATTATTATTGTTTGACGTAAATTTTACATTGAGGTTCTGAAAAAAGAAATCACCAATTCACCAACATTCCAACTGACTCCATTTTCAGAAAACGACATCTGTAACAAACATAAACTTTTAGCTACCGCTTTACAAGCAGAACCAAATACACGAAAGTCCCAACTATGTATTGGCTTCCAAAGCTACACAAAACACCTTACAAATATAGATTTATTTCGTCTTCAAGCCATTGTTCCACTACTAAATTGTCTATTCTTCTTACCAGTACACTTGGTACAATCAAAAACCTGATAATAAATTGTTCAAATAAGGCCTTCGAAAATAGTGGAATTAATTACTTTTGGAGTGTCAAGAACTCGTTGGAAGTACTTGATAAATTACATGCATATATTGGTGATTTTGAATCTGTTCAAAGTTTTGATTTTTCTACCCTATATACCACATTGCCTCACATTCTCATTAAGAAAAAATTCACACACCTAATTAAATGGGCATTTAAAAAGTCAGAATGTGAATATATATGTTCAAACTCTTTTAGGTCATTTTTTAGTAGCAATAAACAAAAAAACTATGTCAATTGGACATGCTTTATACTATATATGCCCTTGAATTTTTACTAGATAACATTTTTGTTCGCTTTGGAGATTCCGTATATCGTCAGGTTATCGAAATAATTCCAATGGGGACTATCTGTGCACCACTTATTGCGGACCTTTTTTTGTATTGCTATGAGTTACAATTTATGACAAAAATCAGCAAAGACCCATCGAAACAACATCTGATACACAAATTTAATAATACTTTTAGATATTTGGATGATATTTTGGCTCTCAATAATGACGACTTCAGTATGTATACTAAAGAAATTTATCCTGTTGAACTTACTTTAAATAAAGCTAATACTAACAATGACCACTGCCCTTTCCTCGATCTTGATATCTATATCATTAATGGAAAGCTTAATACTAAAATATATGACAAAAGAGATGATTTTTCATTTCCTATCGTTAATTATCCATTTTTAGATGGTGACGTTACCTTGTCACCATCTTACGGTGTTTATATATCTCAACTTGTACGATTCGCTCGTGTATGTAACAATGTTTTAGATTTTAACGAGAGAAATTTATGTATTACTGAAAAATTATTACACCAGGGTTTTCGATATCACAAACTAGTCAAAACATTTACTAAATTTTATCATCGGTATAAGGACATCATTCGTAAATATAGCTCAACATGCAGACTTCTTATACGTTCAGGTATTTCATATCCAATTTTTTATGGAAATATTCTTTATAAAGCACAAAAATGTCAGTATTCACCTCTGAAGCTAACAAAACCTTTAAATAGACTTCTTAAGAAGGGATATAGTTACGATACTGTTGTCAGGTCATTAAAGATTGCATATTTTGGCGTTAATATTGATTCACTTATAGGGTCTTTGCATCGGCACTAAACACATTTATTTAAAAACCAGTTGTTGGCATGACACGGGTTATGTTCTTCTCATATATGTTATGATGGTATGATACTAAACCCCTAACGGGAAGGATTGTGCCTGATATTCATATGATGAAGACTTAATCTTTCAATCAGTTTAATTGAAGTCTGGAGCTGGCATGTCAGTTAACTGCTAGTAGTCTGTTGTTATTTATGTATTATTGTCATTTTGTTTATTTTCTTTGGTTACATCTTCTGACATCAGACTCGGACTTCTCTTGAACTGAATTTTAATGTGCGTATTGTTATGCGTTTACTTTTCTACATTGGCTAGAGGTATAGGGGGAGGGTTGAGATCTCATAAACATATTTAACCCCGCCGCATTTTTGCGCCTGTCCCAAGTCAGGAGCCTCTAGCAACAATTATAGTTTTGCTCATCCAACATGCCACTGGAGAGGACATACTCGTCTCTTACCGACAATAATAGTTTCGCTCATCCAACATGCCAGTGGTAGGGACATACCAGTCTCTGACCAAAAATAATAGTTTTGCTCATCTAACATGCCAGCAGTAGGGGACATACTAGTCTCTAACCAAAATCAATAGTTTTGGTCTACCAATATGACCATGGTAGGGGACATACTCGTCTCTATCTAAAACAGTAGTTTTGCTCATCCTACTTGCCAGTGGTAGGTTTTATACCAGTCTCTAACCAAAATCAATGTTTTTCTCATCCTACATGCCAGTGGTTGGGGACATACCAGTCTCCAACCTAAATCAGCAGTTTTGCTCATCCAACTTCCAGTGATGGGGACATACCAGTATTTAAACAAAATCAATATTTTGCTCATCCAATATGCCAGTGTTGGGGACATACCTGTCTCTGACCCAAAATAATAGTTTTGCTCATCTAATATGCCAGTAGTAGGGGGCATACTAGTATCTAACCAAAATCAATAGTTTTAGTCTACCAACATGCCTATGTTAGGGGACATACTCGTCTCTATCTACACCAACTTTTAAGTATATACTAGATTGGAAAAGTATGTGCGCACTAAGGAACAACTTTATTTTTGGTGAGATTATTTCAATATATATAATAAAGCTTCTCTTAAATTATACTGTTGTTTCTTGGCTGCACACAATGTTTCCACAATGAATATAACAACGGAAAACTACATAAATTCAGCAGATTTCTTCATTTTCATAATTGTGACGTCATTACATCAAAAATCTTATGTAATCATTTATATTTCTTAATATTTTACATTTCCAAACATAATGTGCAAATTTTAAATGCTGCATTATGTACTTACTCCATGATACTATTAAATGTATTTGGATGTCCTGCATTTATAAGACTTTACAATTTTTTCCTCCTGCTTGATCAAAATATTTCTTTCTTCAAAGTTTGGAATTTCTTTGAGAAAAACCATAACCTCAGAGTTCAATGGTCATTCCTTAACTGAAAAAAAACCCAATACGGATTGAAAAGTCATTACGTGTTTTCGATGCAGTTAGCTGTTCATCAACACAATTTTGCTATTTCATTTTAAGCATCTGGATTTTGTTTGAATGAATGCATTTATATATGTAATGTTTTCAAGCGAACAAAATACATAAAGATAAGCCCAAACACTTATAAATGCATCATATAAGCTGCATTCATGTATAATTTGGGATCTTCTTGAAAGCACTGTCACTAAGACAATTTGAAAAAAGAATATTTTTCCGATTTTTTCTATGGTTATTCTATGTAGAAATAATGAAACACATAGATTTATACACATGAAACCTACACACTGTTGTTGATTGCTGTTTGTCGTATATATTTTTTTTTCATTTTATCTTATCTTACTAAATCGTGATGTTGGTTTTGTCAATTGAATTATTTCGCATTTTGTCATGTCGGTAACTTTTACATGTTTTATAGGTTGTTATTCAGTATGAGCTTTGCTCATTGTTGAATGTCGTACAGTGACCTATGTTGCTTACACCATAGATGCATAAACACATAGATGAAGCTCAGCACCGACTACAAAGGTTCTATGTGCTTTTAATGGCTTTCAAATTAATGTGTTTTCATACATTTTTAGGTTTTAACTTTTATCACAATTGAACATTACTGAGTTGGGTCTTGAAAAACCAATTGTGTCTTATTCTGAATATAACCTAATTTATTAATTGCAAAGTTTTGTTTTGGATTTCTTCATGATAGACAATATTGGATATTCATGATTTGCTCAGTTTAATTTTTACTGAAAAGCATATTCTCATAATGCAATCTTCCTTAGTATTCCATAAAACGTGGAAAAAAATACACAAAAAAAAAACACATTAAGATATCAATATATTCCAATTTATTACTGTAAATGTTCATCACATACAAAATTTTTAATAACAATTACAATAAAATTTTAATAGTTTGTATGAAAGAAAATATTACCAAACATTAATTTAGCAAAACTGCCAAATCACAACTTAGTGTGGACAAAGTTGTGATTACTATGTCAGAACAAAACAAACATCTATTTCATTACCATGCCAATTAGAATTTGTAAGCAATAGATGCTCCTTACATAAACTTATGAATACAATAGCTTTCTCATATATCAACTCATCAAAGATACCAGGCTTAAAATTTTATACGTCAGACTGGCCTTGCGTCTACAAATATTTCATCAATGAGTGACTCTGGAATTAAAAAAGTTAATAAGGCCAAAGTATTGAGGACCCAAAATTCTGAAATTCTTTTTGGTAAATAAAATGAAGTCTGCTTAGGCAAGATTTCAGGTGAATCTAAATTACCAAAATAAAAGACCATTCTATTTTAGATTACAAAATAAAGAAGTACTTTCATGTCATTATAGCAATTCAAAAATGTTCTAAATCATTTGAAAACTATCAATCTTTACATTTAAAAAAATATTTATAGATCAGGGAAAAAAAGTAAAATTTTATCCTATTAGATTTTAGAATTCAGCGACTTAAATGTGCTTTAGAAGGGAAAAAATAAATGCCGTGCTAACAGTATCAGATTACAAAGTTCAGTGAACTGTGGAATATAGGTCAAAATACTAATTTAGCATTTATTTTTAAAAGTTCACATCATAATAAGTGTGTAATAGGTTTCAAGTTGGTGTGACCACAATTCTATGGAAAACTACCTTAAACCAAAACTTAAACCTGATACAGGACAGACAAGCCCATAGATCTGCAAACAATTCCCCCTTCTATTTTAGTTAGGGCATAATAAAAATAAAAGCATTGTTTGTTGGACTTTTAAAATCGAAAAATCCAATAATGCTATCCCTATTATCTGTAAGATACCTTCTCTACCAATAAATTATGGTGATAAAATATCGTTAAGTAAATGCTTTTTCCCCTTTATATTCAATACATTTCAATATTAGGAGGGGCTTTATACTCTCAGTAACATTTCTTGAATTCAAGTTTGAATAAAAAAAATTTAATGAACTGTATATAAATTAAATTAATAAGCATCAAATTATTTTCAATAGTATTCTAAATATGTGATAAAAAATATGACATGTTTATTTGTTCATACAATCTCAATCAAATCAAAAAAAAAAACATATTCACACTTAACTATCACAAATTTATTGAAGAAATCAACACATATGAAGTTTATAGAAGAATCAAAGATTTGAATAGTGAGACTTGTTCCTCATGATGTTTTGATTTTTCTTATTTACACTAAAATAAGAATCTTAAATAAAATCTCATAAGCAGCAAGCACAAATATGCATTATTAAAGATCTAGATATCTAATAGAAAACCCTAAATAATAAAAAAACCAAAGGATATGGGGTATCGATCCATGACACAAAATCAGTACAAATGACTGTGTAACTAAGAAGTAGCCCAAACCAGCACAATTAAAATCTTACACTAGACAGAAGATTTGGTGCATCTCAAACATAATTATTTAAAGATTCTGAATAGTTCTTGAAGAGTATTTTCCTAAAAATAGAAAGTAAAAAATAAAATTGACACATTGTTTATACTATATACTGGATTCAATCTGCTAAGTTCCTTAAATTTTATAAGATGGTGACGACAAATTCTCAGTTTCTTCTTCAACCTTAAGTAGAAACAACTTATTCTGAAGGTTAAAAAAAAAGCCTGCTTTCAGAACAGAATAATACAGAAATGTATATATTTTTAAGATTAGAAAGCATAAACAATGAAAATATAGCGCAAGTTTAGGGAATTATGGTGCCGTTTTGGTAAGTAGGCAATCGGTTAAAAAAAAGAGTTTTATATTTGTATGTATAAAGTTTTGAAAATAAAGGGTATTTGTAATCTAAATGTAAGTACTGCAGAACACTTTCAAGTAAGAACACATTTCTATACTGACCATAAATACTGATTATAAAGCTTATTAAATATTTATTGACTGTATAATACCAGTAATTTGCTATATTGTACCTTCTATTGATTTCAAAGAATTCAATTGACTGTGCTATGTCAATGCTGAATACATAGAGTCTATAAGAGTTATCTTTATTGGCATTGCCCGATATAGAAAGCATCTATTAAATTTTGGAATAATAAATAATAGATAGTTTTTAGAAACTCATGGTTTTTTTCTCTCTCCAGATATCAGATAAGTCAGTAGGATATATACATTGTACAATCCATTAGGCGATCTTATATGGTATATACACAAGTATGCTTTCATCCCATACACACTTTTTAATACATTACATACAGTCAATGACCATATAACGCTTTGTGTGCAACATAATAATATGTTTCCATAAAATCTACGACTTTTCACAGAATTTTTCCAAAATTTATAATTTCACCTGCAATATCATCTTCGGATTCATTTCAATTGAATATCAAAGAATTGCATACAATTATATACTCAGAAAAAAAGAAAGCATTGCAGTATATCAGGAATTATATTGTCACGAATATAAATTTCATTTGCACTATGTCAGAAACAGGATATAGACATGATAGATATCATGCAAGCCAAAAATTTTGTTTTCAAGATATGTATAAATAAATTCTAAAACATGTTAAAACTGTGCCAACCTAAGATAGACACCATTTATTAGGTCAACATATTTTTCTAGAACTTAAAGTTTCAAAATATACATTTTTTTTTCGAGGAACTTATAAAAATATAACAACAATCACAGGTATATTTTTTTATTATCAAACTATGCTTTCACAAAGATCACATTTAATCATATATCATATTCACTCAACATTAATCACTTATTTTCTCTCATTAACATTAAATTTATGCATAAATAATGAAATGTGATAAAAATGTTAAATCATGCAAAAATGTGAAAAATTTGTAAAATGTGTAAATGATATTATGTGAAAATAAAGAGTATAAAAATGTACTTCTATTCTACAAATATTCTCAACAATACATTTTAGAGTCAGTCTTTATTTAAATTATACTGACTAGCAATATTTTATTAACAAACATTCAATATTCAAAACAAGAATATACAATTTAAGTTTATGACCATTTCCATAGGTGGTTAAACTAGAGGTATATGACTTGAAAATTTGATACTTGTAAAATAATGTCCTATTTTGTTGAAAAAAAAATATGTGATTAAAATAAAACATGGTCAGAAAAACCAAGCAAATTACACATATTTAATCATGTGATAAGATGTACTACAAATATAAAAGTGTAAAACTTCTCATATGGGATATTTGCAAATATCTCTTCTTTATCAGAAGATAGGAATATTTGTTTTATCAAACTGTAAGGTACTTTACCAGCAAATGCTTAACTTTAGTCATTTTTTCCAACTAACTTGCTAACCAAGGGGAGATAACTTAACTTATCTCTATAAAATCCATATGCTATTTGTTTCTTTAATATTAATGGTTATTTATTTGTTGAACAAATTGAGATAAAAATACTACAAAAATTTAGTTATATTGCCACATTATAACAATACATACTTTTACAAATTTCTTGTCACAATAAATAGCTTAAGGATGTTCGCTCCTCTATTTAAAAATAACAAGCTTTTTAAATGACTGTTATAAATTGATAGTATATAAATAACTGAAATTAAAAAGCAGAAAAAAATTATAGGTCCGTGACCTTGTTTTCGAGATATAATCAATTAAAAATTTGGCGGGAAATGATTCTCTCTAGATTTTTCATACATTTAACATTGGCGCCTTTTTTCTTTCAAAAACTATGAAAAAATAACAAGGATTTTATAAGATATTCATAAATGGTTTGTCAAACTATATGTGTTAAAATTATGAACAGAAAAGTAGGGGTTAGCGGGAGTTTTTTTTTATTGTCACTACATGGTTAAAACTAGGGGATTCCGAATATCTGACAAAAAACGTCAAAAACAAGAGTAGCGAACATCCTTAACTATTAATATACAAAACTGATAAATACTGGCAATAACTATAAATCATCATCTTCTCTATTTATCAGTTCTCCTTTCAGATTTACATGGATAGTATGTTAGATAGATTTTTTTAAAGATAAATAAAAATTGATAAATATACACTGAAATATAGTTCTATCTTGAGTAAAAAAAACTTACCACACAATATTCTTGATGATAAACAAATGAATCACTGTTTTCCGAATTCTTTTATGAGTACATTAATTTCTATGTATAATTCCATTTTAAAGCATGCAAATGAATACCTTCCACAACTTGATAAAGACAGTTACCGGGGATTCACAATATAAAATAATCATTACTATTTACATACAACCTTTGTTATGAAGTGGTTTTATCACTTAGGCTAGAAAAAATGAAGTTCAAGTTTCTCATACGTACAATTTTTTTTCAGCCGAACAGCATTTTTTTCCCCTTTATTCCTTGCCATGCAAAGCATATTTTGTTGAAATAAAGGGTTTGTTTTACAATACAAAAATTGATTGTTGATGTTTAAAACCATTTTCAGCCTAATTGGCTATTTCAAGTTAGCCAGTTCTATCGGTGGAGGACCGCAGACCTAAGGCATGAAAATGGCATTCTTAGTCAATCAAGATAAAAGTGATAGCCCCTTGCAATTAGAACGGTTAGAACTCATAAACTCAGTGCAGACTTGCTAGTGGTCACAGCAGAGGACTACTTAGACTCGGACAGCAATCAATTTTAGGCAACAACAATTAATTTCTGCCTATTTGTAGAAATTACATAAAGTAAGTGTTTTAGCATTTTTTCATGTGAAAATAAAAATTGGAAACTATATTACACAAAACATAACCGTTAACTATCATCTCTTCAGGAGTAAATGGAAAATTCAGGAGATGGTTGAGAATGTTACTTAGAAATTAATTTTATCTAGCCTTATAATGTGATACTAAGAATTAGTTAAATAAAATGATTACCATATACACTATAAAATGCCCAATTGCCATTTGATGGCTCTGAGACTTTCTTTATACAAATAATTAATTCTAAATTGAAATTACAATCTATTTTGTTCTATGCATGACTATTCTTGAGATTAACTAGTTACAGAGGATAACAATTGTGTTAACTTTAAATCATGTGGCTGACATAACACAGGGATCACCACAGGCTATTTAAGGAGGGTGCTCTTTAATATTTGAATTTAGCACCATCCTTGGATTTCCAGCACCGTCTTGGATTTTTTCAGCCAAAAAAATAGATAATATCATTTAAGTTTGGAAACAAATTTTTTATCAGTATGATTTTCATTGATTTTGAAAGATTAAATTTGAGATAAAAAAAATTTTATCAGAAATTTAAGACGTTTGCATACACTTTTTAACACACACATATATGTGTACTTAAATCATTTCAAAAGCTCAACCCTCTACTATGTTTCTGTGGTGATCCTTGTAATAATTATCTAAGATTCTTTCAAATATATGGAGATGCCCTTGATTATATTAATTTTACAATACTGGGTAAAGTCTGCATTTAACAAATTGGTCAAGTTTAATTTTTTTTTGTATTAATGCTATACTGTTTTATCAATATAAATGCCTTTAGGATAATGAATTGCACCAATGGAATATGAAATGAAAATATTGAAATAAAATTCTTTAGAAGTCAATTTTTATTGGTGATATTGAAGTAATTTTAAAAAGAAGTATTAGTAATTCTAAAACCAATCTGTCATATAACTTCTATTTGACGAAATTTCTTCCGTAAGTTTGATACTGGATCCTTGAACAACACAGGGTCCATTCGAACTTTTGATCGAATGAGAGGCATATATCCAAATAACTGGACAAAGTGAGCCAAGCAAGTTTGTCTCTGTGAAAAATGTTGTTGATCTAATGAAAAGGAAGTTCTTGTCCTACCACTACTTCCCAGCATGCTTTCTTTGTAGATTTTCCTATGAGTCACTTTGATTGGTGGTTGTTTGGTCACATGACTGACTAGAAAATTCATAAGTATATCCTCACAGTTCTGAGATTGGTCCACAATTTGAGTGAATACAGTACTAAGAGAGTTTGTATATAAATAATTATAATACCTGAAAATAAAAGACAAAAATATGTAAACAGACAAAAATGATAAGCATTGTCTAAAAACCAAATAATTGTTTGTGTTTATTTTATTAAAACAATGCACAATATCAGTAAATATGCCTTAACATTGGAAAAGTCTTCCTCTATTTCTGTTATTATCAAAAATGTTTCTGTAAATATTACAATAATTAATCTCAAATTTTATTTTTGCCAGTATATGAGAATATGTGGAGAAAATGTATTTATCAAAATCATGTTGTGGGTTCAATCCCCAGCGGGGTCAAACCAAAAACTTGAAAATATGGGTTCATATTCACATTATAATAACATGTTCTTTCCTGAATATGTATTTAATTTGTCCTTGGCACATTGAACAACCAATCATCATTTTTTTCTAAACAAGGAATTTTTCAGACCTGCCAACTTTTCTGTTTTATGGGGATATACCCCATGAGAGGTGTTGATCTGACCCTTATAAAACTCTTATTATTTAGACTAAAAAGAATTCAGAGGAGTAAACAATACATTTTGAACACATGTATACTCATTCAAAACCATACTATGACATGTATAGGTATGCATAAGGTTCTCCTCATGTGCTTAAAATCCACCATGGAGATTTTGAAAAGTTGGCAGGTATGATTTTTGCTGTGTCATTAAATCTTTAAAAATAAACGATAAAGGAATTGACACTTTCCTTTACTTTTTATTTTTCAGTTAACTAATTCATCTCCCTGTGATTTCTAGCTTGTCAAGCATCAAATGAATCATGATCTAAAAAACTTATCAAAGATACCAGGAGTCAGTTTCACAAAAAACTTATGACTAAGATTGATCGTAAGTATACTGAATTGTTCATGACTTACGATCAATTTTAGTCGTAAGATTTTTAGTGAAACCGACTCCTGGCTTTTAACTATGTACTTTAGACAAGCCTTTTGCCTATATTAGACTCACCAGTGGCACACATTACATGCCAAATAAGTATAAATCTTAATTACCTATGATAAACTGCAGCACCTGTTAAAATCATTGAATATTCATTACTATATGTAGATGTGTAGCTCCAGCGATTTTTTGTTGTATCATAAAAATGTTCTCTCGCAGGATAACCAACAATTCTGTCTGGAAACTCTCTCCATACACCAAAGGCAAAGTCAATCTGTGGAAACAAAATTACAGAACTTGAGTGTTTAATTTCTATTGTTATGATCAACTAAAGTAAAATTGTTGTTTTTTATGCTGGTTTTCATCTTTTTTATCTAAAATGCTCCATCAATCTTTTCGAGGGGGAACAAATAAATCACACCACTTTTCTCTTATATGTTTTCATCTTTACTTCTTTGGTTTTTTTGTAGACAGCTCATTGAAATTTTTTTTTTCTATTTGAAACTTTCACCAAAATCAAAGAAAATTAATTACAAGACTATTCAGTATGGGTTTTCTCATTATTGAAGGCTGTACGGTAACCTATTTGCTCTTGTCATTTGAACTCCAGTCGATAGTTGTCTCATTGGCAATCATACAACATCTTCTTATTTTCAAATTGATCATTATCTCCACTTTTTGACAAAAAAATGTATGAAAATGGTGACCTATAGTTGTTAATTTATATGTCATTTGTTCTCTTGTGGAGAGTTGTCTCATTGGCAATCATACCACATCTTCTTATTTTTATATATACATGTACAATGTTTTTTTGACAGTTATAGTGATGAAGTTTTAGAGCATCAATGTACCACAACACAAGGGAAGGTTGAGATTCGGCATAAAATTCAGAAAAAGACAATCTGATGGACAGCAGCATGGTTTATTAATTCACTCGCTGGACCATGATCTAGTGGGCAGGCCCTGATAAAATTCATCTAACTGATATGTACTGATAGTATTGCAACTTTACATAAAATATCATTGATCTTTCACAAGTAGTTCTTATCAAATAGACTTAAGCAGAAAACTTAATATTGATAACTCCTAATTAATTCAAAGTCACTGGACCATGACCTAGGGGTAAGGGCCTCGAAATAGTTGTGAAACTGATGTGAACTGATAGTAATGCAACTTCATACAAAATACCATTGATCTATCACAAGTAGATCCTATCAAACTAACTTAAGCAGAAAACTTAACATTGAAAATGGCAAATTAATTCAAAGTCACTGGACCATGTCCTAGGGGGCAGGGTCTCAAAATAGTCGTCAAACTGATATGTGCAGATAGCAATGCAACTTCCTACAAAATATCATTGATCTATCACAAGTAGTTCCTATCAAACTAACTTAAGCAGAAAACTTAACATTGAAAATTGCTAATCAATTCAAAGTCCCTGGACCATGACCTAGGGAGCAGGGCCTCAAATGAACGCCAAACTGATATGTACTGATACTTTCGTCGTCGGCGAGACTAGTTTAACCCTTCATCAAATTCCTTATATATATTTTTCTTTGCCCTAAGGGAACTTAGAAGTATGTCCTAAACAATAGAGAAACATGTATATTTTGGGGAATTAAAATAACTGTCTTATTTCTTTTTCTTCTGGGAAGAGTTTGTTTATAATTTCCACATTAAAAAGTCTGTATCTTGGGAAATGCTACAATTGTCACCTACGGGAAAAACATTTATTGGGAAAACATGTATTTAGCAATTTATAACAACTAAGGGTTACAAGAAAGACCTGAATCTTCCTCGTGCTCTGGTAACAAAAACTTAAGGAGTCACTTTTAAAAAAAAATAGTTTTCACTTTAAGAAGCTCCATGAAAATAATTTATTGTCAGTATAAATGTAAGGTAAAATACTTATTAGAACGGTTTTCATTTGCATTGAAATTTTAATCAGGAAAAGTACCAAAGAATTTTAAATTATGAGTAACTTCCCTATAGTCACATAACTGGCTTTTTCACAATAATTAAGAATAGCAAAATTTGACTGTTGAAATAGATCTAACAAACAGAAAGTTTAATAGAATCTTATGAAGTAAGCTAGCGACATATTGTTAAATAAAATAAATTTTTAGGTGACATGTCAAGCAATTTTAACAGATTAATAATGAATCAGAGGATGATCTCAAAATCTAAGATTTTTTTTTATATTTTATCCAAGAGTTAAGGACTTAAATTCTATAATAAAAATCTTTTACAAGATAACTGGCCACACATTTCTTCCTTTTTGCATCAACTGAAATAATAAGTTATCCCCCTGACTTACCTCATCTGTGGTGATTAAGGCATCTTCATCTAAACTAAACACTGCATCTGTCTGTACATCTGGGAAAGCTTGAAATCTGTCACTAATTGACTGAAAAATAACAGAATCAACATCATTATGAAATTACAAATTAAATTTAACCAGGTTTAACCCACCATTTTCTTCAGAAAATGTCTGTACCAAGTCAGGAAATAGAAAGTTGTTTTCCATTCATTCTATTGGTTGATATAGTCATGCGTTTGATTTTGTCAGGTTTTATGGACTTTCCCTTTTTGCATTAACCTTGGAGTTATATATATATATATATATATATAGTGTACTTATTCTTGTCACAAATCTTCTACACATACTTCACACAACCTTATACAAATGGAACAGCACTTTCATTGACGTTCTTCATCTCAAATTCATAGTAAAGCCTTCAAAACAAGAGCCAAAGATTAATTCTAACTGCAAGTTCAAGGCCACAACTAGCACTGATTTCAATGAACGTCTTTTTTTCACTTGTTTTCAATTTCTACAAAGTTATCTACACCAGGTATGAACTTTTATCTGTTTACACATTATTTGGATGTAGTATGGATTTTTAGTTTTTTTTCCATATTGTTGTTACATTTAGAGGCTTTTGTTCTTGATGCAGCAAAATGTTTGTATTTTTGGCTCCAATACTATTGATCAAGTTAAGCATATCTGTTGAAGGTAATTCCTGAAACATGTGACAAGTGTATTAAAATCAGTCATACAATAATACTACTTTATACCATTATCTATTCACATTAATTTACCTTTATATTTCTAGTTTTGACTAGTACTGGTACACCTAAGTTTCCTGGCCATTTTTGTGCAGGCGGTGGGGCTATATCACAGTGCCATACAACTATCATCTGAAAAACAACCATTCAATGATAATAATAATATTTTATATCAGATGAGTCTACTCTAACATGTATTTAAATAAACAAACAGTTTTAAAAACAGACAGAATATAATTAGCTCACTTGACAACAGATAATTTGTTTCCAAAAAAAAAGTACATTTTCTTATCAATTATTAATAGTAACTGTGAAGAAGGTTCCTAGAGATGCTTCATCTTGTTAAGTACTGCATGTACTGCAAGTCCACAAATATTGGATAACAGAAAAAAACAAAAATTGAAGTTTACATCCACTTCATTACAACTCTGGTGAATAGTTTTTCATTGGCAATCATACCACATCTTCTTATTGTTATATTTATATATAAATTTGAGTATAATTCTCATCAATGCATTTAAGGATGTACTTATGTGAAATTAAAAAAATCAAGAATTTAAAATTGATACTATAAGTCAGAAGAGCATTATAAGTTAAGGAACAAAATAAGCTAACAATATTGATAGGTTATGGAACTCCTTTTCAAGATATTTAATTTTTTAAAATAGCAGGAAAGCTTAGGCTGACTCGGACTTTTACTTTATATTTGCATTGGTATTATTTGGGTCTCAAATCGAAAGAAATCTAGAATCTGCTTAAATTTTGGTAAATGACCTTTTATGAGCTATTGAAATCTTATATGAAAAGAAAAATGGGTGTTATGAGGCAAAATGTTTTACCCTGTCTCGTAGGAAAAAAACCAAGGAGTCCGAACATCTGACACAAATTCCTAAACCTGACCTAAGTACATCCTTAAAGGTGAAAACTGAGGAATAATTTATTAGTGATTGCAGGTAGAGAAAAGTTTGATTTGTTATTCAGAAACTGATCAAACTTCAATTTGTGTTTCTGCAAAGTACACAAATCAATCATTAATTATTAGTTCCTGTAAACAAATAAACCAATTTCCTTGTTCACATTTTCTATACACTGATTCTTTAGCAAGAGTTAAAATAATTTTGAACAATCACAATTAGTTCATTCGAATAATATGTTTTAATATCAAAGGAATTTCCAAACAATTTGGTTTGAATGAAATCTGAAATTACAAATCACTTTTTACCCATAAACCTTTAAAAGTGAAATATAAAAAAAAATGATAAAGGAATACATTTGAAAACACTATATTAACAAGCATTCTGAGAGTATTGCATGGCAATACATAGTCCCCTACCGGTTAAAAAATAATTGTATAGGAACAAAATGCTAACGTGATCTATAACTTGTCATGGTGTAACTATATAACAAATATGAAGTCAATATCTTCAAGCATGACAAAAAAAAGTGTTGAAAACTGATTATTTAAGTGAATTTTCTAAGTTCAGGGACCATAACTCTGCACTCATACCACATCTTCCTATATCTACATAATCATCAGACCTGAACAAAATTTGAACTTGATCTATAAGTTGTCATGATAAAACTAAATACCAATTATCAAATTATTATCTTCAAGCATGATGTCAGTAGGGGACTAATAAATGTTTTCTAGAGCACCACAATGTTGTCTACATTATTTCAGTGTGAAATTAACACTATAAAATTTTGACTTTATATCAGCTGTTTCTAAAAGATGATCTGAGATATGATTGTGACCTAACATTTCCCAGTGTTCCTGCCCAAGGTTGGTGGTTTTTTTTCCAGCACTATGATTTCCTCCACAAATAAAACTGGCTGCCAGGATAAAGCCCATAGCGCTTAAAGTCATGTTAAACACCAAAAATCAATCAATCAATAAAATGTGCTTACTTAAGAAATGCACACAAGTACAGAGATCATTTCTTAAAGAAAATACCTTGTTCATTTTGTATCATTGTGTCTTGTAAAAGTTAACAAACTATACCTTATGTACATATGAAGATTTAGCAACAGTTCTGATGAGACGAAACAATGGAGCAGACGACAGCATGACAGGTGATGTTGCATAGATAATGGCAGTAAACTGATGCCCAGGACTGGTCCCATTGTCAGCATAATAGAATGGGTACTGTGATTTGGAGGTTGAATATTCTTGTAGCACAGACAGAGCACCTGGGAAATTGTTCCACACAGCTAGAGATCTTGCCAAATGTTTGTTCACACGATCTTTTACAATCTGAAAATAAATAAAAATTATTTTGAAATATATCTTTCTGATTGTATATCATTATGAATTTCAGCATTTTAACATCATTTATTTTCATCTAAAATAAGGTTTTCGAAATGATACTAATATTTGTAATAAATTCCAGGGCATCTATTTGAATGCTTGTAAGGAAAGGAGATAGCTTCACAGATTTCTAACAAATTAGCAAGACTAATGAAAACTAATGTCTCACAGAAGTCTTTATATTTAGGCAAAAATCCACCAAGTTGTTATTTCAAGTATCTCATTTATTTATCAAGGTTTGTTTTACTTTTTCATTTCATAATTCTATGACATCATACCTTAAGAAGACAATTTGTTCACATAAAGATACATACATGTATATAATTAAATTTGGAAAAAAAATATCTCAGTTATGTCCCTTTGACCACTACTATCTAGATTTATGGGTTGAATATACAAATTTCAAAAACTGCTTTGGAACAATTGTAAAACTAAAATGTACAGGTGATAACATCTAACATTATAAAAAGTCTTTCAGTTTTTTTCTATTTTGTCACAGTAAAAACCTTTTCAGTAATCTCCCCCTTAGTCTCTTGTGAGGGAGGTAAAAATCTCCCTCTTAGTCTCTTGTGAGGGAGGTGAAATCTCCCCCTTGGGACTCTTGTGAGGGAGGTGAAAATCTTCAGCTTTGACAAAAAATCTATTGGTATCCTCTTCCATCATTTGAGTTGTTTAATAGTATTTTCTGAGATTGATTTTCTCTGAATTGCAAAACATTTCCTTTTTGCATCTCATCAAGAACGTTGTTTTAACTAATTATATTTACGCAAAGATAATTCACTTTTATATCCTTTTGTGCCTAAATGTAAAAAATCTTGAATAAAAAAGGTTGTTATCTCCCCTAAGTTGAGTTCCCCCATTTTTTAGTTAGAAAAGAAAAAGTTGGCAGGTTTGCATACATCATACAAATACAATACTATCAGGTGTGAAACACTTGTCCTAATTTAACCAATGTGATTTATACTGAAATATCTGCATTATAGTCATACGTCAGACATGACAATCATCTGTAACCAATTTCTTGTTTAGGATCCATAAATTCACACATTTTGTTTGAAGTTAAGTTAAAAAAACACATGTATGTACATAAATATTTGTTATGCATCAATTGTGCAATATTTGAACCAAATGTGAAATTTGTTGTATTGAATTATGTCAATATCTGTGGGTATCTTGTAAAAGTGAATTAACATCTCTCTGGAAGAACCTTTTAAAACATCAACATAAATAATACTTCAATTGCAAGATTTGCTTTTCCAATCTGTAAAATTTTGAACGCTAGTATTTGACTTTTCTACAGGGAAATCAATTGAAGGCGTATAATCAAAATTTATTCTCAGAAATGATTTTTTAATACATTATTCAGAACCTACAACAAGTCCACTCTCAGCAAAAAAGATATATAAAAACAATTTGATAAATTTCCTCATTGGTTGCCTTATTTATGACTTTCAAAAGCAATTGAGAAGCAGGCAATATGACATTGCAACTGAATTTTATTATTCAAGAACAGAGAATAACAGAATCACTTGTTAACAAAATATGACGAACCTGTTGGAGAATGTATAAATCGGCTAAGAATTGGTGAAATATATTGATGAATTAAATTGAACAGTCAAATTAAAGTTGGATCTCTTACTCACGATTTTCAATGATTCTATTCCATTATTTTGGATGTTGGGAAGCAAAGTGACATATTTGGATTTAATCAGATTGTAGATTGAATGACAGAATTTTCCCCCATTGATTGGCAAAGCTTCTTGAATTCTGTTTTGAATACAGATTTAATTTGTTATAACAATAAATTTACAAAAGCTGACAGATGTCTTCACAATATATCAAGGTCCTTAAATTGTTCTAAAATAGATAAATATTCAAAACAGAAGCTATCTGCCTCATCATTAAATTAGCAAAAAAACTTGCAAAATATGACAAACACTGACATTAAGTTTTCTCTGACTTGGGACAGGGACATAAAATATGTGGCAGGTTAACCCATCTGTTTGGTTAAGACCCATCTTTAAGAATTACAGTAGAACATAAACATACAGGAATTGGCACACATGATTCCAAATTCCCATCATCCTGTATGATACATGTTGTAAAACACTATGCATGCATCACAGTCATATCTAATACTACAGTCAAGCTTGACAGTCATATCTAATACTACAGTCAAGCTTGAAATTATTGTACAGTGAAGTGGTTATTTTTAATGAGTTTTAATTTCACCATCTCTTGGGCCAAATCAGATGCAGTGTTTACTAGCTTTAATTTTCCACTTTTCTTGTCCCTGATTCTAATGTTCAAATCAAACTTTTGGGATGGGATAGATTTGCAATTTTAATTCAATTGCGAACTAGCCAAATAAACACAAAAATTTTGGAAAGTTCCAACTTTACAGTATCTCAAATGGATGCATCCACATAAAATCTAACAAATTAAAATCCCTTTTCAAAATGTTTTCTACAGATGCCCTATGTCAATTGTTAACCTCAGTTAACCTGCTGCCTCCTTTTTTTTCTTCAAATTACCCCCTCTAAGCATTTGTATTCTAACTATCAGAATTATTTTCTAAAGATTAGTACAAAAAAATGTAATTTTTTCAACCAACAAATGCAAACAAAAATATCTCTTTAACAAAAATTATTAAAATTTTGTTGTTATTACTACAAACTTAACCCAAAACAGAATATTACCTAACTACTCTTCCTAGCTACATCAATAATAACTGTTAGATTCACATTTAAATAATGGTTTCAATTGGCATTCTTAATCGACTTCAAAATTTTTCAAAATGTCAATTTCTGTAATCTGAGCAGACTTTTCCAAGACAAGACAAATGCCAGTATAAGAAAACAATTAATCTTTCTGAAACATATAATGTTTGAATAGAGTATACTATTTGTTTGCACAAAACATTCTATTTAACAGCCATTTTAAAAGAAAAATGGGTTTCTGAGAAAACTATAACAATATTGTGCGGTCGACCCACATTTAATTCTTTTAAATATTTCTATGGACTGTAGTGAAATTTTTCCTCCTATATTATCTGTTAATATAATATTTTTTTAGTTTTCAATCATTTTTGTACTGAACTTTTCTGCAGCTCAAATCATCAAATCTCTGCCTCTTACAAAGCCCACCTTTAAACAAACAACGTGTAGAGCAGCATATAGAATCGACCTCTTTGTACTTAAAGTCAAAAACAAAGATTTTCAACTTCACATGATTAAGCAGAGCTCAAAAAAAAATCTGTCACTTATATTTTAATGGCATTCAACAAATATTAGCCTCTTTGTACTTAAATCAAAAACAAAGATTTTCAACTTCACATGATTATGCAGAGCTCAAATAAGATTCTTTAATGGCATTCAACAAATTCTGCTGTACAAAAAAACCTTTACCGTCTGTTTGATGTTTGCCTGATATCATTAATGGCAGCCATTTATTATACATAACGTTCATATGCTGATCATTACGAAACATTTAATACAAAGTAAATTGTGCCTTCTTATTTAATAACGCCATATTCAAAGTCTGGTTCCTGTCCCAAGGGCCAGCGCTGACACACGCCAATAGAGCATCAACACATAAAAACTAGGAACATCAACTTTTATCTAGTTATAACATGCAATAATAAAATCCTTCTTAAAAATCTACAATTTATTTTCAAAGATAAAACAGTTTTTCGATATGTCTATTTGTTAAAAAAGTATTCAATAGGGACATAAAATGTCTATCTGATTTTTGCTACTGAAAATTTAACTATATTCTGTCAGGAATAAATGGAAATGTGAAATACATGCCAATGATGCAGCAAACCCAAAGCATAATAAAACCCAAAAAGACATCTGGAAATAATTATATTGGTTTCCATAAAAGAAACATCTCAATTTGTGACAAAGCTTGACAGACTGATAAATATATCAATTTCTTTGTAAGTTACAAGCGACATTACTTTTGCATTTAAAACATTCAACTTTCACAAGAGCTCAACAAGGGGAACTGACACAAAAAGTATACTCGTCTAATAGATAGATCGTTTTTCATTTAACTTATTTGAGTAAGAGTTATTTCCCTTCGATGCACAAATTCCTTTATAAATCAACCAAATTTGACTTGTTCTACCAACCCCTAGACTTTAAAAAAAGTTGCTTTCTGGACAGTTTTAATTTGTTTAAACCTTGTATAACTCATTACTTACTAAGGATCTAATAAGGATCTCTAATCAGACATGCTTGAACCACATGGTTTAAATTTGTATATATATATGCCCTCCAAAATGGGAGTCAAGGAGAATTCCAATATTATATTCAAATCATGTCAATTAAAAACTACAATGTATTCATGTCAAATGTTTTGTAAGAATAACCTCCCATAAACCAACCACAAAACAACTCTAAAAAGTCTTGGTAGATTAGTTGTCTCGTTTGCAATCATACATCTCCTTATTTTTATATTGCAATCATACATCTCCTTATTTTTATATTCCAATCATACATCTCCTTATTTTTATATTCCGTAGAAACTAATAACTTTTGAAAAGTTTCATGGCATGAGAACTAAGAAGTTAAAAGGAAAAATTCAATGCATCCAAACAAAAATTTCTACACCTGCAAAAACTATTTAACCTATTGTTCAGAGAAACAAGTCTTTCTGTCTTAATTGGCTCATACACAAAGATCTCTGGCAAATTATAAAGAAGGTGTAGCTCAGGAATAAATGTCTTACAACAAACACCCAGTTTTAATTATTCTGTATCTGTATAGGATCTGGAGGGTTATAAGTCACATGTACGAGGGTCTGGATGGTGGTCCTTCATTTCTGTATTCTTTAATTTTTTTATGTCGTTTTTCTCTTTCTTTTAATATATTTTTTGCCCATTATTCTCTATTCCTTACATTTTAACACCCCATTATTCTCTACTCTCTTATAATTTTGTT